TACCGCAGATCCCCAGGGAGACCCCGCTCAACTTCTACCATGAACTCATCCATTTGCACCCCTGGGCGCCGTTCGTCCGCCCACGAGAATTACGCTTCGCTTCTTTGACCGATCATGAAGTTACCAACGAACTACCGCTAGAAGATTATCGTCACATTCCAACATCTGGATATCTCCGATACAAGTTTACGAAGTCGCTTTTTCCGTTCGTCAACGTCCGTCGAGTTGGAAGAGCAGAGCGCATCCCATTCATAGAACTTCAAACCCTGGAAGCGACCATCCGCTTTCGCCAAGAAGCGAACATCATCAAAGGCAAACTCCTGTCTGGAGTCTTCATCCGTATTGAAAACAGGCGTCAGCAAACCCCGCTAGGGAAACTGCCTACGCTATCCACGCCTCCGCCCGCGATCCAAGGCCGTCGTCCAGTCCTATATCAGGTAGTGGCCACAAATAGGGGCCAATCGCTCATCCTCGAAGCTAAGGACTTCTTCATCCCCGGCCCGGACATGAAGGAGCTTCAGTGCATCACTCTCGACCAGTATGCCACCAACATTCAGACGGAAATGCGCGGATTCGACAAGTCACTTGTTTCGGTTAAGGATTTTGTCTGGGTTTGGACCATTGAGCCGTCACCTCAAGCCCTTCGTGACCCCGAGATGGTTCTGGAACGCGCCCGTTCGCCACGCACATACTCCATTGAAAGCGACGTCGTCTCGTTCTTCCGCGCCGCCTCATTCGCGTTCGTGACACCACATGTTTGGGCACACAACGTCCTTGGGAACGTGATCCGGATATTGCGCAAGCACTACGAACCAGCTAGATTCACGGCAGCATTCGAAGGGACACCAGAAACAGTGATCATAACACCAGCGATCGCCGACTTTCCCTTGGACGAGATCGCCGAAGATGAAATGATCGTCGCGCAAACCAGGCGCAACGTGTCCACCGCCATTCGCTTTTCGGAACCTGCAGTATCCGTCGAGGCCCGCAAGACCCTTTGCGAATCAATTCGCTACACGGTTCCATGCCACCCGAGGGAAGGTATGTTGCCTCTCAGAGTAAGTCGGCTGGGACAAGACGATATCGCATGGCTACAGGACCGCGCTAACCAGTTCGACAATTTCATCATTGATCCCACGGCTGCAAAGCGGAAGATGGGTCACCTTTTCAACGCGGCCTGCTCAGGACTCGCAGCCGTCAAATCGGAAAGAGATGACCGCCTCGCGCGTTGGGTCCACATCAGCATCGCCTCCCTCAAAGTCTATCCGCTACAATTATCCT